AATTTTTGGTTATAAATTGGCAAGAAATAAATCAACAAAATGCAAAGAAGTTTTCTCTATGGAAACTACAAAATAAGATTTATGTCATTAACTTTTAATATGGCAACATATCAAAATGAAGTGATACAGTACAGTCATCTGCATGAGAATTAACTTCCAATTAAACCATTTCAAGAATACACTCAACTGAGTGAGTGAAAGATAGGTAAAAATAACGAGCATTAGAAATATAAAAAGAAAAGCTAAAATCTGTTGTCTTCCTCTCCATCTTAATTCCAAGGTAAATTTTCATTCACTCGGTAAGATGTTTGCCTTTATATATATTTGAAAGAAAGATGTGATTTTTGACTTTCCAAAATGTTCTAAAAAAGCTGAACGTAAACTGGATTTTTCATATTGAAAATCCATCTTCAAATAAGCCCAGAAAATTATTGAAAACTCTATGAATGAATGTTTCTAGACAGTTTTTGGTTAAGATGAGCCAATACCTGATGAAGCACCCTCACATTACCACTCTCACACTGGCAATGTATTCTTGGAAGAGAAAGGATGATCTATCAGCAACTCCTGCCAACTCTTTGGGAGAACAGGTTTTGTAGGCAAAGCAACATTCCTGCAGACTCCTAAGACTATTTTAATTAAAGTGGCAGAATGATTCTTAAAACTAAAGTGTAAAGCACAAAACAAAGTTATAAGAAAATCATCATCATCCTGCAACTTGAGCTCTTGGTTCCTCTTCCAGAATTATGCATTTCTAGCATGCATCCAAAGGTGGCAGCAACTCTCTATTCGTAAAGGCCCCACACTCTTGTTTAAGGGGTGCGAGACACTATCACAGGGATCTATCCAGAAATAGGAAGGTCAAGTCCTCAGCTCAAATGTTATGTGAAGAATTAGTCTGGGCTTGACTATATCTATATACTTGATCTATCTATACTTGATCTGCAGGTGGCAGAAATTTTCCGCTCACCTCCAACTGCCGGGCTAGCATATAGCTGCAGCCCTGCTGTGCCATAAACAACACGTGAAAGGCAGGCTGTTCCACAATCAGGAGGGGATATCCCAGCAAGTTTATCAAAAACTAGTTGTTTTAGATGTGGCTTCATGATTAATAGCGGTAATACAGAAACTGACAAAGAACAATAATACAAAAAGAAAGAAATTAAAACATATATTTACTGATAGACATTTACAACAATTTTATCCTGTATTGGACTGAACATAAATGAAAACAGAAGCCAAATCTGTGTCCCTTTTTCCATGATTTTATTTCAGGTTGAATTTTGTGCATACTAGAGCAAAGATCTCTATTTCTAGAGAGGATAATGCATCCTTTTCTTTTATCAAAGGTTCATATGTGAGCTGAAATATTTGCTTTTTGGAAGATGATAGGAAGATTTCTATTAATGTCAGCATAAATGGATTAAATAAGGTCGACATCAGATAAAGAAAACTGCATCCCTTCACTCAAAACCCACATATTTTCCCAAGATTATTGTAAACAGTTTAAAACAACAGTTTCCTCCCACATTCTTAACAGCTATTTACTACCAACTAAAATAATCACATATAACTGCATAAACACAAATTCACTTACAGATAAATCTGACTGAAATTGCTAGCTTTTACTTCTAACAATGTAAGATTATGTAAGAATTATTATTATTATAATTATGCTCTCTTCAACTGTAATATTACAAGCCCACACAAGTTCTTTTGCTACTCCAGCCACACAGACAGTACACTGACTACAGCTACTAGGAGATACAGGCTATCATACACTAAATTACAAGGAACCTATAAACAGAACAGATTTTAAAGTTTAATGTACAACCACATATATAAAAAAAGATGAAAATCAAAATAATAAAGAAACCTATAAAATTATTCCATATCAAAATCCTTAAACAAAAAGAGTACAAGCAAACCCTTATTTCGGAAGATCTTTTGCCAAACAAGTATACTGCTGTATTTCTTAATTCTGAAGCAAAAAGTGGAGAATTTTGTTCTCATATCAATACATAATAAGCAGAAAAGGTCTCTCCTGTGTGATGCCTCCAGGTGAAGCTGAAAAATCAGTGCCCTCGGAGACTTCTTTGGAATACCTGAGACTGATGTGCTGGGTCTATTTCAATGACAGCCACAAATTTATTGGAAATTTAATAAAATAAATACAATGAAGCTTTCATAGAAAGCAGCTGAGCTTTACATGATAGGTAAAGGATTCATTTCAATATTAGCCGCCTACTTTCTATTTTATTAATGACCTCCTAAATCCAGGAAAGCTATCAGCAGATGAATCCCCAGGAAGGAAATAAAGTCACTATAATCAGCAGATGAGCTAAAGGTAGAAGTCCGTATTTCACCTACAACAACATAAACTACTAATTCATTATATTTCAGGGAAATTCTTGATAACTTTTATGTCACAGATCTTCATAGTCTCTGTTTCCAAACATATCCTACATTTTTCCCTATATTTGATTATACTTATGTTAAAGCTTGCAAAGAGAATATTTTCCGCAACTAGCTATCTACATACTTCTGTTCTTGGCATTAATGAACTAACAGAAAAAAAAAAACCTATATGGTTTCATACAACTTTGATGGGAACAAAGTTATTTTTTTCTTTTGAAAAAAAAATCAACAAAACAAAAACTTTCCAAACTTTAGATGAGATCATACTAGGAGAGAAGGGACTTTGAAATGCAAATCATCATTTTCTGCTGCTTATGGGCAATGGATGCTACGTCCAGAGCTAAACGCACGGAAGGAGATACTGGAAGAACATGAGGTGGTGCTTGATGGCCAAATGCTGAAGCTTTACTGCTGCAAAGTCTGCATACTCAGACCACAATTTCAAGCTGCAACTGTGGTGCCATGGCACCTGAACACAGAATGGCTTGAAGAATCGAGTATCATATATATTACAGAATATATGCGCTGCATACAGCGGCGTTTCTGTCAGGTGTTTGAATAGCATCAATGAGTGATCAAAATAGCTTTGCCAGTATGTACTGTCGAACACTGCTTGGATCTCTGTCACTTTTTCACTTTTTCTGACATCTTCATGCATTTAATCTTGGCCACTGCCAAAAAAATATGACACCATTATTCACTAACCAATCTGTGTTCAGTAATTATTTTTTCCCCAATGGGACAACTATTGAAGATGTTTAAAAATCTACTAAATGCCTTAGACAATGCCTGGAATTCTGGTAGAGAAAAACCTGTAAAAGGTCTTGGAAGACTTGCGTTTCAGCAAGTTCTGGAAACAATAATAAAAAGAATATGTGTCACCAAACTCTTGAAAAAAAAAAAAAATGATCAGTGTCCCTTCCAATCCATATATAGACCAAGAAGCATAATCTGGTGACTGCAATGGTGTTACAAATACCAGATCAATTTATTCTGTTAATATATTCCTCATGGCTTTACTCAGAAAACTTTGCCTATTTCCTAGGTGAAATTATTACATACTCATTTTTGGTATTAATAAAATATCAACTGATCGAGTGACATTATCATGATGCTGATACTGCGTTAACAATATCAATTATAAGGTTATATAGTCTTTTATGAAAGGAAGTATGAAAGGTAACCAACATAACCTGAAATATTTGTTGTGACATGAATAAGCTAACATCACTTTTGGGAAAAAAAAGGAAAAAAAAAAAGCATTAGAAGTGACATCAATAAACTAACATCACTTTTGGGAAAAAAAAGAAAAAAAAAATCACTTTGCAAGGCTAAAAAAGACCTTGACTAGGAAAGAGGAGGAAGGCAGAAAAGGGGGAAAAAGCAGATCCCCTGTTGAACTTAAAAATTTTTTTCTTTTTTTTTTTTTTTTTTTTTTTTCAAACCATCATATTCAAAGTATTTGTGAAAAAGATACATATGTCTCAAAATTTTTATCAACTTTATGATATTTCCTTGATATAGAAATTCCTATTTTATACACAGATAATTCTTGAAATATACTACTTCAATAAGATTGAGACATTAGCTTGTTGCTGATAAAATAGCTGTAGTATCAATAACGATTGGCTCTTTTTGTGGTGGTGGTATTTGTCTATGCAGGGAGGGGGACATTAGCTTGTTGCTAATAAAATAGCTGTAGAATCAATAACAATTGGCTCTTTTTGTGGTGGTATTTGTCTATGCAGGGAGGGAGAGCATTAATTCTTGCTCAATAGGAAAGACCAAAATCACTGGAGAAATAAAGGTAAAAATACACATACTATTTACGTGCTATACTTTTCAGAGAAAATAAAATAAAAACACGGGATCAGACAGGAAAGCTTTTTCCAGGGAAAATATTACGCTTAACTTATTAGACTGTTACAGCTATTCCATCTCTCAGCTGAATGACTGCTCATTCCTGTGACCAACCACGCTCATTCCCTTGAGCAAGCAGTTCTTTATATTTTTAATATAAATGCTTAATACAAGCATCCAGTAATGGGCTCAGAAATAAGCTGTCTACAGCAACTTCACTTTTTTCCTCCTCTGTACAAACACTAAGCGATTTCAGTTGCACTATATATACACACATATATGCGTATATAGGTGCATAATGTATGCTTCAACATATATCGACATATAATATGCAAAAGACAGATTTATAAGTTGAAAACTAATAGCAGTATTAACCAAAACATAAGACTGTGTATACTGTGTCACATCAAAGAACAAAATCAGTCTCCTACTTCTGACAGAAGTCAAAGTTGTCTATGGAAGAACACTGAGAAAATCGAGCACTAACACTTTCCTCAAATATTTTTCTCAGTCTCAGGCAATTTACATTAAGTGAATATATGAACCACATCAAAGATCCCCACAGAATCCCACTGGTGATTTCATTCCTTTAAAAAGTTCTTTCCTAAAGAAGTGTGTCCTTGGATATACAATAAAAGTTATGTATGTACACACCTCCACATGTGTGGGAATCATCCCTCCATGGCCAACTGCACAAAGCATTGCAGCTTTATTTGACTTACCTCCCATAATTTTAGACTGACAATTGATAAATTCTGGCTTCTTGTCTGTAAGGTACCGCTGACAAGTGTGATGAAGAACCTGAAAGAATGTGCATTTTTCTGAGGCTGTGCTTGCTACCCATTGGTCAAAGGCATTTTCAAATAGTAAATCGAATTCTGGGGAATCCTGGAAGAAAACAAAACAAGACCAAAACTAGCATTCTAGTTTTATAAGTCATTTGAAGAAAGACCTAGAAAGACCTATTATTTTTCAAGGATTTTGAAAAAAGTTTGAGATTACCCTGCAATAATTCTTCCTCTGTGGATTTTTTGATGGAAATTACAGAGGAAAATTCTTATTTTTCTCAGATTTTTTTTTTAAATGAGAAATATTCAGCTCCACTGTGGAAAAAGAAACTCAAAACTTAAAACATGAATATTTTTGCCAAAAATTTTAAAAAATAGTTTAAAATTGGAATCTTATAAGAACACCTTGTTAGCTATTGCTAACTTTGTCCCTTCTACAAGGGATTTTCTTTTCAGCCCATCAAAGCCTCTCAACACTTCCATGCTATCATACAGGTTCTGCTCTGGATACTCACCCAGAATAAGTGAAACCCAGAATCCTGTATATGTCTCATGGTAACATGAGCAACAAAAGCACTTCTAGAACAAAGTAACCCTGGTCCTGTATCCTGCATCAGTCAAGAGACACACACACAATGCAAGTATTATTTGTATGGGTAGAAAATGCAGAAGGATCCGAGGAAAGGACTGTCCCCAAAAGATGCAAGGTTTACTGTGTGGCACAAAATTGAATCTCAGAAGCCTCTCCTCTCTATTTTTGCTTCTGTTTGCTGCTCTGCCTTACAACACAGCTCCATGGAGCTGAAGAGGACAGGGCAGATGGGACTCTTTAGTAAGAAGAGCAGGATGAAATATAGGGAAAGGCACAAAGAGAAAAAGAGGAAAATATGACAAGCTTTGCCTCCTGTGGCCTTTTCCAATGAAGTACTTCCAATGAAGTATACTTTGCATACTCCTTAACCTTCTTTTTTTTTTTTTTTTTTTTTTTTGAGAATTTGCACTTAAACCTATATATTTCCAGCTGCCTTTTGAATAGTGGAAAGACCGTCTGATTTGTAAATTCCAGAAATAAATTCTAGAAGAGCTCAGCTGCCCTGTTTGGGAACTGTTCAGCACACTCACCCGATTAGGGTCGATCCCATTGACCTGGCGAAGCTGCTCGAGCATCCACTGCGTTCTCCTGACGAAGGACGTGGAGCCTTCAAACTGCTTCACCTTCGTAATAGATGCCTGAGCTGGTTTCTTGTTCGTCACTGAACATATTTAAAAAAAAAAAAGTCTTTTTATTTCAACAGTATTTAACAGTAAGGTATTTCCTACAATGTACTGCTGTAGCGCATGCATGAAAGCAAACACCTACCACTAATTCTGACATGAAAGACACTGAATCTGAACGATTCCCTTTCTCAGATAACAGTGCTTAAAAAGCACATTCAACATTGTCAAAACAGCGGTGCTACACCAAACGTGCATTATATTACTCAAAAATAGGTTTTTTAGCCATTAACAGGTTAAAGTTGCCAACATCTTGCAAAACAGAACCAGAACTAAAGTCTTTTCAGCTCCTTTTTCCACAAGCCCTTCAGTATTCTCTTTTCCCCACATCGATTACTTGAAGTCCTCATATCCAAACTCTTATTCGTTTTTCTTCCTTTTTTAATCCTTTCAGAAAAGGAACAACATGACTAAAGATCTATGCCAGACGGCCTATGTACAATAGCCATATATGAACTCATTTTATTTAATGAAACCTGAACTGACTTCCACAGCGTCAATTGATTCATAAAACTACAGATTTCTCCATAAAACGATAGATTTCATAACGTGTCAAATATAGCTTAACATCTGATATTCAATTCCCAGTTTCTAGTGAACAAGCATAAACATATTGACTTACTGCATCAAGAAACCACAGGAAATACAGTCCATGAAAAAAGATAGACTTGTAAAATTTAGGAACTAGAATCCAGGAACTAGAATTCCTTTCCCTTCCCCCAAATATTACGTACAACGACCATAAATAATAACAATCTTACTTAAACAAAATAAAGACAGTTTAACACACACACATAGGGATAAGACTTACAAGATAACATAGATTTTGAAAAAAAAATGCACTTTCAAAACAGTATTAAACTCATGATCAAGTTTTCAAAATGTACTTAAACATTAAAGTTAACTTTTCAACAACAGGAAAAACATGCTTCCTGTATTATACTCATTCTCTAAACAAAGATATTTCCTTTTCATCCATGTAACTGCATATACCTTAAAAATCTCCCCAAATAAGCTTTATAAGCAATTTTAATAGACATATTCAGTATATTACTTGCATATTCTTTTTCTGTTGCCATTTTTTCTTAAATCACTTCCAAAATACATTTTAGTTTTCAGAAATATTTTGTAGAACCACTGTGCTGCACAAGCTCTTAGAGCTGTTATGTTAATTATTCTTCTCTAAACTCTTTGTTTTCTGAAATCTTTTTATCCATAATGATCCTCCAAAACCAGCAGTATGGAAAGTCACTGTTCTCTGATTTCAGATGCTGGCTGTTAAAGATGACTTTTAAAATAATTATGTCAATAGACAGATTGTGTTTTTTTTTGTGCACTCGGTTTACCCAAAATAATTAGGAAAGCCAAGAAGCCAATAGCCTGGTAGTTACATGCTGCTTTAGGATGAAAAATTATCATTTTCGCAGATCACTGTCTCTTGACGTTAAATGTACTGTGAAATCGAGTAGTAAACCTGGATTAATATACAAAAAGTTATTTTTGCTAACTCAGAACTATGTATTTCATTTTGGTGTGCATCTGAGCACATAAAAGTCCAATCTTCTCCCATTGGTAAGGGATTTTAATTTGATATTAACAGTAAAATAAATTCCAAAAAAATGGTAGTAGGCCATGAATTGTATTTAAACACACTACATAGTGGATAACTGCTTTTAAGAAATTACCTCAGAATAGAAAGCAGAGCTGGACTCAATATGTTGACTAGTTTATTGGTAAGAATATAATAAACATGTTGCCAGAAATGTCTTAATTGTCAGCAGAAATACTGCAAATCAATTTGTTGTAGTATCTGATTCTGCATTGCATGTCAAATGCCACAAATCAGAGGAAATCAATGTCATGTCAGAAAGCTGACAGCAAATTTAGAGCAGAATAACTACTTAGATGTAAAGACTAAGTTTATTAAAAAAAATACAGTTGAAAAGATTCACTGACTTTACTAGTAGTATACAAAGGTTCTACCTGTAAATAAATTCAAGTCACACAAACAGACCAAAAATTTAGGAATTTGCCTTCACTCACATCCTTCCTCACAACTCAAATAGATTCTATAGCAGATTCTATAGCATCCTATTCAGATGGATATTTCTACAGAATAATAAAAAAGCAGTCTTTAGCAATGGCTCAAGTTTAAGCGCACACTATACACACACCACATTAGAATTAGAACTAATAATTTTGCAAAGCACCACATTTCAAACCAGGAAACAGGACATGGAATAATTATATGATTAATTGCTTTTTCCACAGGACCTTTACCATTTCTAATACGACGAATGGATAATAAGTTAATGAGATACACAGCCTTAAGTCTCATTTATAACAAACTTCTCATTGCCGTAAATACATGTTTTTCTCAGGCTTCTCAATAGCATACATTCTAGCGCTCTTGAAAATAAGAGTTGCAATTATTTTAAGTGAAAATATCAGACTGGGTAGTGAGGCCCAGAAGGATTAATCTCAAGATTTCCATAGCGTTTGTCCAGCTGGTTTGCTTTATTCTTATTTCTCTACATAGTACTACTTAAGACCAATGAACAGCAATTTTGTTTTCAGCTACGCAAAAGAAGGTCACACTAAGTGCCTTAAGGCAGCAAACTCAGGAGTATTCCCTTTAGTGATCAACTATAAAGAGCTCCTGATTAGATGACTAGGTCAATATCACCACCCACCCCATAGTCATTCTGCCTAGCAGAGGCAGGGGGAGGCAGAGTCCTCATTTCCGTGGCAGCTTAGAATTGTCTGGAATATCTCAGTTGTTGTTTTGGAAATTCAGTTCACGTTACGTGATCAAGTGGTAAGATCTTGGAATCATGACAGTTCTTCCTTTAGGTCTCACACTCGTGGATTACTGCATGCAACTCAACCAGATATATTTAATTTTTTGCTTCTTAGTAGCTAAGGAAAATCCTAGCTGCAATTTCTAGAAGATTCAGAAACAGCTACCCACAACACCACCAATATGCTTTAAAACATTCATTTAGCCCATGACAGCTTGACAGTGGCATGACAGTCATTATGAGCCTGCACAGACCTTCTGGCAGCTGGGAGCAGCATCCTCACTAGCTGCTCATTATGTTGCTTTGCAAATGAGAGCACTTGCAAAGCCACTGCGTAGGTGTTACTTGCAAACATGCAAAAGTATTTCTTAATCCAGGAAGAAAAAGAAAAAAAGAAAAAAAGAAAAAAAAAGAAAAAAAAAAAAAAAAAAAAAAAAAAAAGGAAGCAGCTACATGCTCCTAACCACACTCCCTCTCTGAGAAGTTATTCGTATGCTTCAGCCAAAATCCTTCCCAATTTTTATCTACCTTAATAAAACACATGGGAAAGAAGTTATGCTTCAATTTTAGGGATTATTTTTGATAACAGAATTCACCGCTATGTCTTCAAAATAGGAAGCTTCAATAGCGTGAATAAAGCACATCCATTTGGAACCCAGTAGTAAATGGCAGGTCCATACAGTAGTTCTGCACTCCATCAGATTTAAATAAGTTATTAACAATTTAAAGAATATATAACACATATGTTAGCTTACAGATAATATACACAAACTTATAAACAAAAAACATAGAACAAGGAACAGCACGGGACTGAAGACATCAACCATTTTGCATCCTAAGTTACAGGACAAAAGTTGAGTCATACCATGAAATTTCAAGAAGGTTGTGAAAGTTTAAGTGTCAGGCACTTAAGATAAATATTTCTTCAAATGCAAATTAGAGAATAAGAGAAAAAATATTCATAGCAGAAATATTAGAGAGAAAGTCAGGTTACCAAATGTATGTGAATTTCAATCATAGATAAAATTCTAGATTATAAACTAGAATCTAGGTCCTCATTGATTTTTAAGCAGGAAACTGATACAACTCTTAAGGCTAAAGGATACAAAATTCATGGTTCCACTTCACCTGTGTGTGTATGTTTGTATATGTACGTATTTTCTGTAAAAGTGCAGTGGATGTCCATTCCTCAGCTCACAAATAAAGTATGCGAGCTGTTAATAACCAAGTAGGGTGGGGGGAAGGAGGGTACTGTGATTGGATTCCACGGTCACTGTATCTAGAGTTTAATCATTTCTACATTCTTGTAGAAATATTGCCAGAAAGCAAAACTCAGTTTCTTTGTGACACTAAGCCTACAAACAGGTAAAAGTTTAAAGGTTTTCTAGATACCTTTTCCTTTACAGTAAAAATAAAATTAAAATGCAGCACATTTGTACTAAACATTATTTGATATCTAGTATAGTTTTATTTTGGAAGAGGTAATGTGATAATTGTATTACTAGCTGTGGTTGAAATGTATTTTTAAGACAGTCCTCAAAGAAAAAAAAAAAGCAGGTTCTGAACAGATTGTGAAAGAATTACTCCTCCATACTTTTCAGCTCTCCAGGGTTACATATTCAGAAGCTGTCTTTTCCCTGCAAACCTGTGTTTGTGCAACTAAATCTAATTCTCATTCAGCTAGACCCTTCACTCCCAGACTCCAGGGGAAAAAAATCCATATTTCACCAACTTTCAAAAACTCACGGACTAAACCTCTGACATGCACCTCCGGAATTCAAATAAGCTGCAGCTACCAATTAGTTTGAGAAACTGCTTTCTGACCTTCAAGAAACAGTGACCTTCTCACTTCCCTGTCCAATTACTACTCAATTCTATATTCACTTCCGGATTTTATATTCAGAGAACAAGATAAAAGCAGCTTGTCTTGTCTGAGGAAACCAAGTTTGAAGAAATTCAAGACAGATTTCTTTCTTGCAAATATTATAAAAATATAAAGTCTCAAACATACGACAACACCATCAGCTAGATTTCCACAATGCTTCTCTGTAAGGATTCGCCTCCATTTGCAATTCTCATCTCTCTCATCCCAATGTATCCCAAATCAGAAGACCAGAAATATTTCTCTATTCCCCTAAAATGAAGGGCTCTTTTTGACAACTTCAGTGCCATTAAAC